TAGAAAGTCTCGGGTATAAAAGCCTGAATGGCTTTGAAGCGCTCCACCACAAATCCCAGGGTGGGAAACTGACAGCTGCCGTATGAGATCAGCTGATTGGCCAGGGACTCGGGGAAGATCTTCTGCAGGCGAAGCGTCTGGAACCGGGTAAAGGACGCGCCTGACGACGATCAGAAGACAGAGGGACGAGTGGAATGTCATCAGCCAACTTATAGTGAACAATGAGTTCCAGTCGCTTGCATATTTTCCTGCTTGACGGAGCGGTCACCGCCTCACCTATCCGCAGATCCAGCTCCTGCCGGACATCGACAGCGTCGCTGATGTTGGAGTCGGGCTCCGTCAGCGTCTCACACGCTCTTCGAATCGAGTTGGGAGTGATCTCCGAAAACTTCGCTCGAAAGATTTGCAAATTGGGTTTCACTGGAGAAAATAAATGTATATATATATATATATATATATATATATATATATATATATATATATATATATATATATATATATATATATATATATATTTTTTTTTTTAGATATTAGCAGACAGAGGAATAATGTGCAAAAGTAGTATGTGGATAAGTATGAACCTGCTTTGCAAACGTCAATGATTTCGAAGCCAATGTTTTCTCCCTCCCGGTCACAGTCAGTCCAGATGACCAGAGCCTGGCACTGCCTCGCTTCCCTCTCCAGAGTCCGCTACCAAGAATTAAACACAAAAATTTGACCTTTTGAAATTATATAATCAAGTTATGTTATGTCAATTCACAACTTAAGAAACTTTAATAACCAAATGAAAACATTCCAGGTGACTTTCTGCGATTTATAAGGTATGAATATTAACCACTGACATGAGATGTAGGACTGAAATACAAATATTTTAAGCTAGTTTTAGTTCCGCTCTTCATATTAGTGGTTAATAAAGTTTTATTTGATAAACTGTAGAATAAAGAGAGTCGGTTTCTCTGAGTATGAATCCCATTTCTCTAAAGTTATGGTATGGTCACATGTTCTTCATTAAAGTCCAGCTTTTTATCAGCGCCCTCTACAGGCGACTAACAGTATCTTGTGCCAAGACTTTAAAAAACAAATTATCACAGTTTTTGCTGTATGTACAGATGTGTAAAGTTCAGGATTTTTCCTCCAGTGTTGCTGTGCACTGTGGCTCAGCTGGCAGCTGGATGAAACAAGGCTTCTTTTAACGCTAAGTGATCTGGCTTGAAAATAAAATCAAATTTTTTTAAAACCAAATTTGATTTTGGATGTTAATACATTTCTTCCTCACTTTTTTAAAATTCTGTAAATGACAGAAAATATCATAAAATGGCTTTTACTTCTGTGGGTTGACCTGAACTTGTAGTCGAAAGAAACAGAATCAAGATGGCAGTTGGGTTAACATAACCTTGGACACCCAAGAAAAGCATCAGCGGAAAAAAAAAACATATTTTCCAAAATTTAAATAATCAAAAACAGAATATGTGATGAATCGATCAAATCAATGTAATGCCCACCTCTAGCCCTTTGCTTTTTCTTTCCTTACAAGACGAATTTAAATAAACAAAAATAGACATTGGCTATTTAAAGAAATTAAAGTGACACGCTTTAGTGTTTTGTGTTTCCTCTCAGTTCCAGCCTCACCTTGATTTGAACCATGTTGTCCGGGCAAATCTTCTCTACCTCTGCATCAAACAGCAACACGGGACTGCAGCTGAGCCTTGGAAGAGAAACGACAAAAAATTCAAGTGTTAAAACCCTACGTCCAGGTCACCGTAGGCATATATTCATTTCCACTTACCATTTCTGGAAAGGCGCTTTGAACTCCAGACCCAGCAGATGGCCTGATACTGAGGTCATTGTCACAGTCACATTCTGAGATGAGGACAACAACCAGAGAAATCAGAGGGAATCACAATCAGACATTCAAATGCATGTGGGGGTTGCTTACCTGCCCAAAAAGACTACATTCAAACTCATATATTTTATTGAACTTCGAAAATCCTTCTCTCTGCAAAAGAGAAACGCATAATGAGCGGTGCTGACAACGACAGTGTTGTCATCACAAAACAATGAAGATAATGGGAGCTTTCTTTTACTTGCTCTGAGGTTATGTCAGATAGCAGTGACACCTACAAGCTTCAGTAACAGTGAAGCTCTGATCAGCGGTGACTCACCCTCCTGGCTCTGCCGCCAGACAAGATCTCAGAGATGCCTCTGGCTGCGTCGTTCTTCTCTGCCACGCAGAGGACTCGCTTGATCTGAGCCCTGCTGCGAATCATGTCTGCCCCCTGCGCTGCGTCCGAGCACCGGCGGCTCCGTGTCGCCCAGGAAAAGCCCGTCCTCGCCCGCAGTAGTCCCGATCGAAGCGTGGGTCTGCCGAGGATGTGCGCTATCAGCATGCCTGGCCCGCTGTCACATGAAGCAGCAGCGGCTGGCCCCGGACTCAGCCTCCCCGGTCCTGCCGCTCTTCCGATCGGTTAGCATCTTAGCTAGCAGGGGTGGCTGAAAGCATCGTGGCGGCTCTCAGAAAGCTTCTCGGACGGCTAAAAAGTTTTCCCCAGCTACAAAAATTGACTTTTTATTTATGGTAAGTCGATAAGAAAAATAAAATAAAGAGAAAGTTTGTAGACTTGTTGATATAATGAACCGTTTCGAGCCTAGTCAAAGTGACACGGTTTAACTTTGTTTACAAAATCCGCGCCCGAGAAGTCAAAATTACTGTAAAGGAGATCGTACAGGTGTCGTGAAGGCTGCAGTGTCGTAAAACGTTGAAATGAGGGAAATTAATCACCCCCCTTTCATTGTATGATACAATAAACTCACGAACTTTCCCCTGTGTTTTTAATAATATCTAGCCATGAAGAAAGAACATTGAATGTTGAAATGTGTATCGATATGTACAATTTAATTGTACAGCTGCAAGGTATAGAAAGAATCCCCTTACACTAATGTAGTTTTCTAAAATTATACTTATAATAGTAATAATAATAATAATTAATTAGTTCCTCATCCGTGTTAAATGTGTTGAGGAAAAAGTTATTATTATTATTATTATTATTATTATTATTATTATTATTATTATTATTATTATTATTATTATTATTATTATTATTATTTTAGCCAAGACGCGAGTGTGTAAAAAAAGGCATTAAACTAACTCCATAACGTTAGTGTAAAAAACACACTAACTACATAGAAAAATAAACTTCCGTTTTAGTCAAACGATAATGACAAAACTGTTTTGTCATGAACACGTCGCGCATTTACAATGTTTGGACAGTAGGTGGCAGTGAGTGGTGTGGCACGTTGGAGTGAGATTTGGTTTGTAAGTAAAACATCAACACTTTGACACGAGAACTGAGCACTTTGAGTTGTCTTATGCAGCGGCCACCGTGTATGAAACGGGATGACAAACAAGATTTGCCTTTTCATTTTCTGCTGCTGCACTATATATTGGGTTATTATTGTTTTTTCGTGGAAAGCGATGTATTAAAATCTGCAGCGCATTGCAATAAAACATATTTGACCTTTGATGGAACACATGGCACACAGAGGGTATCCAGTTGTCTTTTGTCATGTGTCTTTTGTACGCATGTGTAGGTGTTGAATTTTTAAAACTGATTTCCATGTTAATTTTTTCATAATACTATGCTCAGGATTTCAATCCTCCATTCAATGCACACTTTTAGGAATAGAGTAACATGATAAGTGAGCAGATTTGCATTGCATATTTGAAGCTGTATGTTGTGTTATTTGTACTGGACAAGTTCTGGTTTTGCCACTTCTATCTTCTAAAATACTCAATCATTATTGTTTTTTAACTTCTGCCTGTCAAGAGGAAATGCCCTTTTTATTAAAAAAAATGATGTTGTGTGTTTTTATGGTTAGCTCAACCACATTTATTTTCATTTTCACACTGTTGTCTCACTTACAGCACGGTCTCTTAGCTCTTAGTTCTTTTTCTTTTGTGCAAAACAAAGTGGAAATAGATTTGTTTTCTATCGAAAGATTATTTCTGTTGACATTAAGCAGGTGAGGTAAATATTGTGAAGTGCAGGAACCTCCAGACTGGTCACAAAGTCACGTTCTAAACTGGGTGCTCTTTGTGTGTGAGTTTCTACTCCTTGATATTTGATAAAGGTTATTTTTGAAGTGTGAGAACATCCATGTTTTCACAAGCCAACACGCTTCATTTCTTGCAGATCACATGGTATCCCGTTTGCCTTTCACTTCTCATTTTCTGTGTAATCCTGCGCAGAAAAATGAGAAAGTAATCAAAACCTGATTTATTTTTAACCTGTTGTTATTTGATTGTTCAGGCTGACTCTGTTCAGCAACTCACTGCTGACCTACGAACCACTCCGGATATTTTTTCTGCAAGGCAACACATTAAAAAAAAAAAAAAAGTCACTTTGTAATCCAGAAAATAAGGAAAGAGAGTCAATATAATTTTCTGAGCTTTACTCAGACAAACTGCCACAGTTTTAAAGTCCTTACTTGTACTTGAACGCTTTCCCCAGTTTGAAGTCCAGAATAACAACACGTCAGACACATTTAAGCTTAAAGTCATCTTTTAATTTTAAACTGTAAGTAATAATGTTTTTTGCGGAACTCCAGCCATAGGTTTTGCTTGAATTTTCCTCCAGACTCAAATACTTTTCAGCTCACCACCAAAGAATACCTTTAAAAAATATATTGAAAACAAAAGTTGGATATCAAATACAAGAGGAATTGAATTGCTTTGAAACTAACAAATATATTTCTGTTAATAATTAATGGGGGTGTCAATTATTTATTTTTTGCTAATAAAATGCAATAAAAACGAATAAATAAATAAATAAACAAAAAAACCCGTATATTTTAATATCATTTTATAAATGAACATTTCTGAATTTTCGTCGAATTAAAAACAAAACAAAACAACAAATCAACATTTCCCTTTTAGGCGGAGTTAGTTTTCCCTCGATGGGCGGGGCTTCGGTCACGTGACCAGTCAGCGTCCAGCTGGGTAATCATGGCGGCTGTCTCTGGATGCGAACAGCAGATGTAGCGTTTCTTCTTCTTTTTTTTCCCTCTCCGCGAACCATGCCGTTTGATGCACGCGCCGGACTTTGATCCGGACGCCAGGAGGGACGGCGGCCCCACAGGAAGAGGAGGAGGAGGAGGACGGCCGCTCCTCTCCCAGGCGGCTGTAGCATGAAGGCTCTGCAGGCAACACGGACGCTGTGATTCCCGAGGAGGGCTTTTTGTCAGCCAAGGCGCTGGATGGTGTGTTTGTTTGATTGTCGAGTTGTTCATTTGTGTTTTTAATTCATCTCTTCTTGCGGATGTTGAGTTAATTTGGAGATCGGAATGGGTTCAGTGGAGCAGCTGCGCCCTATTGAAGGTTTTACTACAGTGTGATGATGGCCAGTCTGAATGGACTCTCTCCCTGCTGTCCACACACAGCTTTTCTATGACTGTTTGTGCTTCTGCTGCTTCTCATGCCTCCCTCAGTGGTAACACTATGATAGGCTCCCCAGATGTGGTAGCTTTCACTAAAGAGGATGAATACGGGCAGACTAGTCAAGACCCTCTGGGTCTCCCGGAGGAGTTCTCCGTACCCCTCCACCCGCTGGCCGACTCCAACCCCTGGGCCAAAACCTCCTACGCCAAATTCACCAAAGACTTCATCCTCATCTCTGAGTTCTCAGAGCAGGTGGGTCCCCAGCCTCTCCTCACCATCCCAGGTGACCCCAAAGTCTGCGGCACCTTCGACCTCAACTACTTCTCCCTGCGGATCATGTCCGTGGACTACCAGGCCTCCTTCGTGGGGCATCCGCCCGGCAGCGGCTACCCGAGGCTCAGCTTTGTGGAGGACTCCAGGGTCGTCCTGGGAGACTCGAAGGAGGGAGCGTTCGCGTACGTCCATCACTTCACCCTGTACGACCTGGAGGCGAGAGGCTTCGTGCGGCCGTTCTGCATGGCGTATGTAGCAGCGGACGAGAAGAAAATCATGCTCCAGTTTCAGGAGCTGTCCCTCCGCTTCTCGCAGGCCTCGGAGTGTCTGAAGGCCGGGAACAGAAGGGCATTCGCCAAGGAACTCCAGCGGAAGCTCCAGGACCTGGAGTAAGAGCTTTATTTCAAATTTTACTTGTAAACGTCTGGTTCGAAAGTCTAAATTAGACCTGTGGATGAGGTCAAAGGTTCAGAGCAGCCAGTGATGAGATTAGGGGTAGTAGGTTGCTCAACCACCTCAGATTCTCCTGAAACTTTGCAGCAGTGACCTCTGCGAGCTAAAGCCATCTTACCTGAAATTCTAACATTTGCACCATTTATCACCATGTCAGATTTTTATAATAAATCTCACGGCTTGCAAAGAGAAATAATTCCACTTTCTGACACATCTTATGACATAAATCCATCTCTTGAGTCTTTGGTTTTCTGGAGATGTTTAAATGTGCTTTCTGAAAAAGCTGTAGTTTTTTTGTACCAACATCTGAAATTCAGGACTTGTCTAAAACGTTCAAATAGGTTTGAAACAAATTAGAAAATGTATATCTACTAGACTGCCTCTTAGTTCATCATTATTCTGAGAATATTATGGAAACATCACCAATTCCCAACGCCATAATCTTAGTGTAAATCGAAGATATGGCCAACTAAAGTCGACAAAGGTAAAAAAATTAATTAGATTATCTTCTTGTCCGCCAAGTTTCAGTACCCTTATATTGTTCTTTTGGTTTTCAAAGCTCTTAACTGGGTTTTACAACAACACTTTTCCTGCTATACGTGTTTTACATGTTTAATAATTTATTTCTAGAGGCATACTCGCAATAGCTGAATATTCACAAGCGTCTCCATGATGAGCACAGGTTTCAGCTGCCTTTCATTGCCGGCCTACAAGTTTTTAATCTTGAGAGGTGCATCGGCACAATGGAGAAAAGTTACTTGGCAGAATAATCTGGAAAAGGTTGTTAGGTCATTTCCAAACAATGGAGTCCATCATCATTGATCCCTGGAAGATTATTCCCATGTGGAAAACATTCCAGAATGCCACATATCTGCTCCCAGGGTCAGAGGTTGAAGTTAGGTAATTAAAGAAATTGTAAAAAAAAAAAATATATATAATTAGACTTAGAGACTTAGACTTGACTTTATTGATCCCTTGGGAAGACTCCCTCAGGAAATTATAGTTACCAGCAGCTCACAGGCAAAAATGTGGCACACAGTAAGCATACACAAAATACAAAAAAATACAAATTAAATACAAAACAAAGAATATAAATACAACACAAAAGGAAATTATAGCAATTAAATCATCAAGTAAGATAAGCAAATCTCGTCTCTAAGATAACTCTCTAAGCTTGTAGATATGAGACGGACTGTTTATATGTACTTTACTTTACTCAGTTATGAACTATCAGAGTTCACATCAGGATGATAAGTATGAGTTAGTATGGCGGGTATAGAAGGGCTGCAGAAATACTGTTAAAAAATCAACTACACCACTGCTTAGATGTCCAAAGTTTCATTTTTAAACAAACCACAAAACTTTCTGGTTAGGGGTTAGAGTTAGGGTTGGGGTAGGGTCCGCCAAACAGACGCAAACACAACCAAAGCAGACCGGTCGGATCATAATGGCCCATGTTAAATGGGGAAAACCCAAACTCATACTGTCAGAATCAAGCTTTGTTTGTCAAGTACGTTCACACATACAAAGAATTTGTCCTTGCTTACCGAAGCTCACAGTTCACAGAGAGTAACAGTAGACACAGATGCATCCCAACACACATAGATATACACACAACTTTACATACTTGTAAACCTTTATAGAAGTATAAAATACAAATTATAAACAAATAAAAAATCAATGTCAAACACAGGGATACCAGGATGATGATATGGGGTTATAGCCACAGGAGCTTGGCACCATCCTGTGTACACCAAAGCCCGATCGTTAGTTTGTAGGATAAGATGTTATGTCAAAAGGTATAACCGATTTACTGAAGGTTGATTATACCTTCTTGTAGGTATGACCAACAATCAGTCAGCAGACTACCACTGGTATTTTTAGAACCGTGCCATTCCATGCCTATCACTGCATCTGTTTTGTTTCAGGTACACCCACTCTGTGCTGCAGCGGGAAGAGGGCCTGCAGAGAGAGGCGGGGCCTCAGTGCGTTTACTCTGCCCATGCTGTAGAAAAGGCCAATGAGCTGGCGAACGTGGAGAAGAGCATTTACGAGCACAGAGACCTGCTGAAGCAGATCAGTGCCTACCATCAGCGACCACGACGGGATCCGCACGCCGTCTCGTGCCAGAAGTGCATGACCGAGTGCTTGAGAGAGTGCGAAGAGCTGTTGGACAAATACGCCAAGCTGGCGAATCCCCTCGGGTTCATCCACAGAGTCTCCAAAGGAGAAGGCGACGAGATTGAATCTGATGATAACGGAGGGGAAGAAGAGGCGGATGAAGATGAGGATGACGGTAATAAGCGCAGGCCATCGTACACGCCACAGCTGATCAAAGCAAAGTCTGCAAAGTGTTTCGCCAAACGCCTGAAGACCTTGCAAGAACTGTGTGAGGACAATTTCTACGAGGCCACCGTTGAGCTTCTGAAGGAGACGGAGAGGAGTTTCCGCGGCGACCTGTGTTACCTCTACACTCGCCGCTTGGACAAGGCACTGCGCAGGAAGCAGAAAATTGTCAACTTCCTGTTTGAGGCAGACCTCATTGATGACGTTCAGGATGAAGCCGACACACTGAGACCATTCTGCGCTGTGAATCACGCCATAGACAACTACATGCACTTAAATCCACCTCATATTGTCCTGGGGCCAGAGGCTCTTGAGCTTGATGGATTAAGACCGCAAGATCCGCTAGGCCTGGCTTGTGAAGCCGCCACTACTCAGGAGCTTGGACTTCTGGGCAGCCATCTGGAGTCCTCTCCCTCAGACCAGACCTTGGAGACACAGGGGAGCTCAGAAGGGACCAAAGAAAGCTTCAGCAGCGATAAAAGTGGAACAGATCAAACTGAGAAGCAAGAGAGTCTTGCAAGTATAAATACAGAAGGTCCTGATCCGGACTCTGACTTGACACCAGAACCTGACCAAAACACCTACCCAGAGAGGGAAAGCAGTAGCGAGGACATGGAGACCACTGCCGGGGAGGATGACTGTGATACCAGACAAGACCAGACCCCTGTGTCTTTGCTGGAAGTCGTGTCCGAACTGGAGGCCAGAAAGGACGATGAGTGTGACGTGGGAATGCACTCAGAGCTGCTGGCTCCCATGGATACAGCGTGCTGTATGGCCCAAGAGGGTTTCCTCTATGAGGCAGCTGACCCTGACACTGTGCCTTGCCTGAGTCCAAACTCGACCCTGAGCCCCTATAAGGTTCTGGTGGTCAACCAGGAGCCCCACGCCCTTCACCCCATCCAGGATGAGTACACAGTGGGTTCCCCATGCTCAGCAGCAGGGCTGGAGCTTCCCGTGGGCGTCTTTGGAGATGCAGCTTCACGTAGCTCCATGGAGGACGGGTCAGACTGTACCATGAGTGCTTCCACGGGCTCCGACCGGGCCGCCTCGCCGCTCGGCTACGGGGGGTCAGTGACTCTCCGTCAGAGGAAAAAAGCCGGGCAAGGCGCTTTGAGGTTCGTGCGCCAGTACTCCTTTGCAATGCAAGCCCTGTGGTGTCTGCTGAGCGGCAGGACGCTGGTGGTGCTCGGGGCGGACGAGGGGAGAGTCCGCCGCCTCGTGTCTGCTCTGGCGCTCTTCGTACCCAACCCTGGCAAGAGTGGAGAGAGGGTCCAGCCCTGGCTGTCCTGTCCCTTCACCCTCATTGACCTTCACAGGTGGAAACTTATTGGGCTGCAAAGGTAAGAATCACTGCAGAATCCGATTACATCTTAACCCTTTTACTGATTTTTAGTGTTTAAGATGTTCAGTGCCTGGTAAAATATTTATAAACAAGGAACTTTTAAACATTTTGTCACTTTTCAACTTGATATAAAATAAAATGGAATATAACTGTACAGTGAATGCATGGTTTTCATATTGTTTGCTAATAAGTCATAAATAGGGCATGAATTTGTATCCAGAGCATTTTATTATGATACTTCCCAAAGGACCCACCACAACAAATAGCCTGCAGAAGTCAACCAATCTATAGTTAAGCTACCCCCTATTTTTAATTTGGTCATGGAAGAGTGGCAAGAAGAAATTCCTTACTGAAAAAAAAATCCAGTTTCCTCCAACAAACCACACAGCAAACATGCAGAAGAAAACGCCTGCGTGCAAAACACTACATGTGGTGGAAAAATACTGCATTTCACTTTAAACACCACTTCCACTATAAGAATGTTTTTCAAAATGGATTCCACCAGGGGGCGCTGGGCAGGCCTCAAAAAGCTGCATGGAAAAAAAATAAAAAAATCTAATACATTCATTTTTTAAAGCATGATAATCAAATCTGCTTTTCAATCATTACAAAAAAAAAGTTGAAATAACTTATTGAAATGCTTCTTGCCATGCTCGTCTTTCTGATTGGTTGCTCGTCGGATTTATCCAGCTGCTCTGCTCCTCACGCTGGCATAGCGACCATGAAACGGATCCCTGCTGTGAAGGTCGCCGCTAACAAAAACCCCTAACAACTCATGGCCAACTAAAACCAGAAGGTCTGAGACGGCATTGTGCTAAACAAATATAGTAATTAATGAAAGGTAAATAAAAGGAAAGCAACAACAAAGAATTTGTTCAAACTTTTAGAACAAATTCTAAACTTTGTTTCCACATTTTGTAGCATCGTCTGTTGGTTTTCAAAGGGGCCTGTGCCAAGAAGCTAATGCTGTTTGTGGGAAAGTTTGGCAAACACATGCACTGTGCACTATATCATAAGGACAGCGTCATGCTGCCGGGAATCGAATTCTCCAGCAGGGACGAAGAGGATAAAAAATTTAAAAAAGGCGTTCGCCTTCTTGCACGACGGTGCAATCGCCAGATCAGCAATTCTGCAATTCAAATTGTAGAAAAAAGTAGATCGAAGTGCTGGAATGGCCTCGTCAAAATCCAACCTAAACTCAATTTTGAATCTGAGCTTGACTTGTCTTGCAAAGATTTGTCTAAAAAGCTCAATTTGCCTCACTTTATCACAGGCAAATCCACCCGAATACACTGAGGTCTGTGGAAATATGTGAGAAAATGTGAAAATATTCAATGGACATGAAATCGTTTTCTGGCAACATTTGCTGCGGAACATGAAACCAAAGCAGTCTCGATTTACGTGAAAGAGACCTTGAGTTTCTGAGGGCTTTGCAGAGTTTCTGCAAGTGTTAAATCTGAAGCCGATGACGTCATCACCTCACTTCAATCGCACCTTACGCCACACTTACTCATCTGCACTGACTCAGCGCTCGGTGACTCACTCTGACGGCCCTGCGGCTTTTCATGCGCATCTGTGCATGAACGTTTCTTTTCCACTCTTTCTGCAAACAGAACCTTGACTTTTTGAACAGAAGAAGAGTGTTTAAAGTTTGTTGTATCCATTTAATTTTGATTTCTGTAAGAAATTGAATCAGAATTCTAATTGTTTATAAGCTTTAACATACACAGTGTGTTGTAAAAAACAAAAGCCAGTTTTGGTAAAGTAATGTGAAAAGAATTCAAGGATAACCTTCAGAAACCAAATGGGACGTAAAATTCACCAAAAGGTGACACGATGTGACAGATCATCACATGCCTTTCTTCTTTTTTTATTGTTGCATGTTTACATTCTTTATATATAATCTCTGCTGGGAAATGCACTTAATTCTTCATGTGCATTTTGCATTATGCGATGCATATTATGTAGTTTCAAAAAAAAAAGAAGAGAAAAAAATACATTATGACCACATAATACAATTGCTACTACAAATTAAAATGAATAAAAGAGCACACTTTTCAGAGGTTAAATTTAAATTTGCACATAGAACTTGAAGTTTATATTTATTTACACAGCTAAGTACTTTCTGAGGTGAATGCAGAAGGTTAAATTCAGAAAATGTTGAGTAGAAATAATTATTCTGCCATTATTTTGGCGCCCCTTATGGGTCACATATAGTGTAAACCCCACTTTTTGCACCAGTGCTAGGCATGAATGTCATTAAACTCTAGGCTTTAATAGCTTGATTCAAAGTTTTTATTGTGGTCAGGTGAGCAATGATGTTAATGTTGCCAATTTGGCAAATAAGATTAATAAATGATGTCAGAAAAATGGGTGCAGTCTAAGAGCAACTTGTTAAAGGATCCATCCGTTCGAGAACAAAAATCACCATCAGCTCTAAATGTATGACTTTTACTCCCATGGTGATTAAATGCTGGGTTAAACTGTAGATGTGATTGTCGTTTCCTCCCTCAGGGTTGCTTCTCCCGCCGGCTCCAGCACCCTATACTCCCTGTCCCGCTACAGCCGCTACATCTCCATCCTGGACGTCGACATGAAGACCCTGCGCTGCCCTCAGTACCGCGGCCAGCTCCTCGCCAACATGGCCGACCACCGCACCTACATCCGCCGCGGCTCCACCTACTTCCTCCACCTGCAGAGCGAGCTCTGCCGCCTGGCGGCCAGGGCATTCCTGCTCACCTTCACGCACCACCTCCACCTGCCGGTCAGCCCCACGGAGGGGCCCGAGGCGGTGGAGGCCCGGCGGCGGGGCTTCCTGCAGGAGCAGCTGGGCCTGGACGAGGAGGACGGCCAGATCCTGCTCTACCTCAGCCGGCTCATCGCGCAGCGGTACCTGCGGCCCGCTAACAGCGACTGCTGCGCAGCCGTACCGTGTTTTAGTTTTAACTACGCCGCCAGTGTTTTATATAAAATCTGATTCCGCGAAGGGAAGGCGGGGAGCTGGATCCCTCCCAACACCTCGCAGCGGAAATCAGCGCTGATACTTTGGGTTCATTCGGACCAGGAGTGATCTAAATAAGGTCAAGATCTCTGCACTGATTTGTTTTTCTCCATGTTGATCTCTGTCTGCCTCACTGTGCATCTCTGTGACTTCACACCTTCCTCTGGTGGCAGAGAAACCAGAGCTGAATGTCTCTGCCGACTCTTCTCCACACTTACACATTGCAGCCGATGAACACACTTTGAAGCAAAAACAAAACTGGCAAAGAACTGTAGCGTCTAGTTTGACTGCCTATGTCTTTATGGGCCACCCGCTGCAAAGTTACATGTCGGAAAAACAATTAAGAGCAATTGTATGGCCTGTTCAGCCTGTCAGAGATGTGAAAGAAAATGTGGGTGTTAGTTTTTCAAAGTCAATGTTTCCACCATGAATTTCCCACGTTTATAAATGTCAGGTTGAAACTGAATATGTAATGCACAAACTAAATCTTTAGCTTTCAAGTTGAATATTTAGCTGTGGTGCCAAATTCTTGGTTTGAAAACTAAATATTTAGCTCAAAATTAAATATTTATTTAGCTAATTATATAGTGCCAAATTAAGTAATAGGCTCTGAAGCTACATATTTAGCTTCAAACTAAATATTTATTTTCTAAACTAAATATCTAGCAATAGTTAAATATTTACTTAGCAACCTAAATATTTGCTATATTGCAGGCTTCCTAACTAGATATTAATTTGATAGTTAAATGTTTAGTTTGGCTCCAACTTAAATATTTGATGTGGGACTCTTGACATTTTTAAATATATGAATAACACGGTGCAAATATGTCTTTGAAAAATGAGCACCCAATGTTTTATTTACGACAAGCTAAGTAAAAGGAAAAAAAAAGCTGTTAATTTTTTACCGTGCAACTTTCACAAACGGCGCCGCATATGTGTTGACAGCTCTTATACCCTCGGCACTACATGTAAACATGTTTTTCAGCGCCGCGTACGCTGACATTTTCTGTTGGCCGAGAACAAACACTGTTTGAGAAGCTCGCCCCTCTCTTTGGAAACATCCATCTGTCCCTTAATCTATGATTTCACCTCCACTCGCCAGCATTTTGTTTTTCTTTTCACGGCCCACATTCCTTCAGAAACGGACAAGCGTCCGTTTTGTTGCAAACAGCAACGCGCTGTACGACCGTTCCCACTTAAATTTCAGCTTTTGATTTCAGGGTTAGGATGTCCGAGGTGGTGGAGAACTGAGTCCTGTCGGTCGGGAGAAACGTTATTGATCAAATAGTTTGGACCAGCCACTGGGGTGCATTTTCATGACTATTAAACAGGAGCATTTTAAAGCTATTTAATCTAAATGTATTGAATTTCACTGTTGTCTTAAAGTTGTGTGAGAGTGACGCGTTGTCGGCATCATAGTCTAGTGTCAGAGTGATCACTGTATTGATAATATTTCAGTTTTGTTCCAATGAAAGCAATTACCCTTTTAATGCTTTTAACAATAAACTTTTATTTCTTGTGCCAACAGACGTTTAATTCAGGACACCTGCTCGACTTTATTAACTACAGATGGACCGATTAGGCTTTTACTGGCTGATGCTGAGTTTTGGTTTTCTTTCAAATCAGCAATGATATTTGTAAATTTTTCAATTTTTTATTTTTTTTAAAATTTCTTTTGTTAAAGAGGGAGAATATATGTGCTGCAGGTTATTTGATTTGAAATCTGCCAGAAAATGAAGGAGTAACCCATTTTTAACCTGATTAAATTCAAATTGGTGGATCTTAATAAACGAACCACTCACCAATTTAATTAAAAATGTAAAACAGTCATTTTTCTCAGCTTTTTATGGCTTTTTTTATTTTGATGATTATGGCTTTAAAAAAACCCAAATACAACTTATCTTAAAATATAGTTATTTTGTACATACAAATGATCAACCGACTTTAAAATATGTTCTTTTTAAAAGCACTAATTTAGGTGTTGCTCCTTCTGCGTGAATTACTGCATCATTGCGCTGGCTGTTTTCACTTTGACATCTGCAGCAGATTTTTCCACATGAGCTTTTCCCTGTTGCTTTTGCACATGTTTCTGGTTAGTCAGTTGTTCCTTCCAGTCAACTTTCCATTAATATTCACAGTTATGCTCTATCCATAACTGTGAAATGTGACATTTCGGCAATAAAATATATTTTATGCGATGTATAAAATATAGTTTAAATCATCAGCTACAAACTACAGTCATCAGGTCATTGAACAGGGGAGAAAAGTTTGAAATTTGAATTTTTTTGCTCCATTTTACATCCTCCTTGAATTGGATCAATTAAAATTTTCGAGGATATTCTAATTTATTGAGTCATGTTATTTCCATAATGCTAATAATTTCTGAATTTTAAATTTGTTTTATTAAACTTAGTGAGGTGAGGTTTTAGTATTATTTTTAGTGTGTTTGATCTGCTGATCACTGAGCCCTGCTGTCAGTCAATTCTAATCTCTGGCCAATTGATTAATGCATCTGCTGGTGGCCTACTGCAGGATAAACGTTCCCAGTTTAGGATTGAACTTTTAAAAGTGGCTTATCTTTGTGTTTTGTGCCGTCTGTGATTCTGTGGGATGGTAACTACATGACTGCATGGTCAGAGTTTAAAGTTTAAAGGTCACTGCAAGCAAGGCTTGTAACTACTACTTAAGTGGATCTTGGTGCAGCATGTGATGAAGAGATGTACCTGATGTATTGGGTTTTTGTCCTAGTCATGCAAAGAAAAAAAATACAAAGAACAAAAAAAAAAAAAATAAAAAAAGAAATAAACACACACACACACCCTGAATGTAATCTGAGAAGCCATGCCGCTGTGTCCTTATGTTGCCGTATTATGTCTGGTTTTTGTATCTCATCAAACTGCAGGTTCGGCCCTGCGAGAAATTTGAATTTGAATAAAGCACGATGTGAATGTCTTTCTGTTTGCCTTTGTTTTGTTTTGGTTTTTTTTTTACCTGCTGCTGCTTGGTGTGTGTGTGTGTGTGTGTGTGTGTGTGTGTGTGTGTGTGTGTGTGTGTGTGTGTGTGTGTGTGTGTGTGTGTGTGTGTGTGTGTGTGTGTGTTCAGATGAAACCTCCCCTCCAGTAAAACCAACAGCCTCGTCTGTATGAGTGTGTGTGACTTTCTCCTCAGTGATGACGGATGTGCGAGCATCTGAGGTGCCATGAATAATACATGCTCATCCTCTGTGAAACACTTCTAATTGCCCTGCAGGAGCAGCGGATGTAAAGGTGTTTCGATGTGAAAACAAGTCTGCAACAATATGATCCGTCCTCAGCGTGCCGCTGCTCTAAGGAGGCGTGTGGGCGACTCGGTGCGCAGCATCTTGCAATGTAAACTACAGTTTGCCTCAGCAGTTAATGGCTAAAAAACTTCCACTCTGATTTATGGAGGAGATGCTTGTTTGGTTTTTAATCGATCAGTGATGCTAAGAGGAGGAGTTGATCCACTACATCTCAACTTCCTTGCAGGTTTTATATTGATCATGTAAATGGTTCGAAGTCAGACTGTGTTTCAAAGCCATTTTAAACTAAATGTCGCCACCACACGAAGAACAGAAGTCACTTTTCTGTCCCTTTAAGCTGACTAGAAACCAAACTTTTATTTTTTGTCAGCTTTTCTCCAGGCTTTCTGAGAGCTTCAGAGTTTATTCAGGATACAGATGGTTTTAAGTGTTTCCACTTTTGGTCCACTTTCAGATTATTACTCCTCTTTTAATTCAGCAGTTCTTTGAATCAAGGACATCTAGATGATAAAAATCCTCAAAGAACTGGTTGTGCCAGAATGCATCAAATAAAACTACCTATTAAACTATCAAATTACCGTCAGGTTAATATTTAATATCTTTCACATTGTTGTAATTTCACCTTATACAAATAGTCGAATTTGATTTGATATTCAGTGATTTAGAGCCAACTTTTTCCACGTTTTATCAAATATAAAGTTTTTTCCCCCCTAGTAAAATACTAAAATAACAAAAACAAAATTTGAAAAATGCTTGAAAATTTTGACAGAATCTCACAGATTGTTCTAATCAGGAAAAAAAAATCTAGACACGCCCCTGCCCACAAACCCTCAGTTACTCTGTAAGTAGCTGTTGTGGTAAATGATGGGTCATGTAGTGTGAAACTGGCAGCCCATTAATAATAAATGTGTGAACTTATCTCCTGGCCCCGATGTGGCCTGTGACGTCACTGAGGCATTTCAACACACAGTGCAGACCTGAGAAGAGGAAAGAAAAAATAATATTTGGTTCTTCAATGATTTTTAGCAAACAAAACTTGAAATATTTCATCTTTGTTTGTATTTAGTTCCACCGGGTCAATAATTTATATAGCAAAAAATATTTATTTGAACAGACTCAATAGCATAGATTTCCCCCCCCACCAGACTGTTGATGATGAGATGATAAAGTGAAATTTTCACTAATCAAAAAACAAAGAGAGCAAAATTTGTCTTAAAACTGAAAACTTAGCAGAAGCTATTTATCTCTTAATAACCACTTTTTTAAATTTTTCTTTTTAGTTTGGTAGCAGATGGCACCAGTAAGTTTAATTCAAAAACATTTAAACGTTTATTAATTTGAACAAATAAATGTTTTAAAATCAACCAAGCAAAAGGGCCTCCTTTCTTGTAACCTAAAATAAATCTGAAATTATTGACAGATACTTTTTATGTAGAACTCAGGCTAGTACATTGCATTCACATATTGTGCATTTAGTTTGTACAATATAATTGTTTCTACATTTTTCATAAGAAAAGAGATAAATGTTTTTTAACAAACTTCACAGTGCCTGTTGGGAAAGGTTCATGTTTTAAAGCAAATGCTGCCTCCTCTAGCTTAGATGAAGAACTACATTTATAGTTTCATGTTTCTCGAGTCGCGACTGGGACATTTTGACTGGTTTTATTCCAGTTATACGCTAATAAACACATGAATTATTGGGCTGTGACCAGAGGTGGGACCAAGTCACTGTTTTGCAAGTCTCAAGTTTTTGTCCTCAAGTCCAAGTCAAATCAAGACAGGAAAACTACCGCCTACCTCTTTGTGCAACTTCAAATACCGAACAGCTGGACGTTGTTGCATCTCCGTCCGAGATCCTGGTCTTGAAGGTTTTGCTTGTTTCACTGGTTTTAGTTGGATATTTCACGATTGATGTATCCTGAAGAAATTACTCACAAATTTCTGCTCTGAGCGATTTTCCATCTCTCGTTTTACGCACACAAACATACAGAGTGTGGAAGTACAGAGACAGTCTGCGCCTGTTAATACAGAATGAGTGAGATGAATTAATGGGGTACTTTATAAATAATGTGTTTTAAATTTTGAGTGAAATATCAAGTCCTTTCAGGTAAACAGCTTCAAGTCAAATTAATGGTGTGAAAGTCAAAGTCAAGTCCGAGTCTTTGAGTGAAGTTACACATAGTAATTAGTTGATATACACACATATAGGTTTTGATGTCTTTACACATAAAATTTAGTAAGGAAGCGGGAAAACCCGACCTGAACCGAACGACCCTTGTTTGTTTTTCTTGTGGCCTAATAAACTACAGCATTAACACCAAACACCTATATATATATTTATGAAACACCAAATTAATTTCAATTAATGAATTTTGAAACTCTGCCTTCTTTAAATGCTCTGCGTTTCTCACTTCTGATTCTTTTAATAGGCTTAAATAACAGCTAAAATAGATGATAGTGCATTTGTAATTGTGATAAAATGTCAACAAAAAGCACAAAACAGCAGGAAATGGTTGAAATGTTTTATTTAGAAATCATACTATAATAATGACAGACATCAGGATTTCCATCCAAAAATAACAGTGGAAAAAAAAATCCCCAAAAAAACGTACTTCAATCTACATTAAATGAAAATCAACGCGTTAGAATCGACCTTCACAGCGAGCATGGCTATCTGGAATGACAGGTCTGACTCAGAAACAGTCCACAACTTTCAAGAATAAAAAGCACAACCAGGAAAAAGTGATAATAAAAAAAAAAAGACAAACAAAAAATGGGCCCCCGGTCTCCGTGTTCTCCCGTCGACTCGCTGCATTTAAACACAGAACATTGATCCCACGTAAGGGCAGCTGACTGTGAAGGTAATGATGCGTTTCTGACGTAGATGAAATAACAGTGATAAGAAAATGAAATTAAAAATTACTCCATGCTCGTGTTATGAAAACCGGACGAGTCCTCGAGGCAAACGTACTCCGCTCCGCTCAGCCGGAGCATCCTCTGCATCCACAGTGAGTGCACTCGATGATCCTTCCCTGCAGAACACAAACCATCTTAACATCGGACCGGACCGCGCTCTAGCGCACACAGTACAGTGACTTTGTCACACTTACGACTTCCAGCTTGCTCTTGGGGACTCTGCAGATGCAGTTGGTTCCAAAGTTGGTGTCTCGGGTTTGGATGCAGCGCAGGCAGCACAGGTTCTCATAGCCTTGCTTCTTCCACTTGGCTATCAGGTTCTTGTCTGCATATCCTTCCTTTATGCAGTAGTCGTATAACTCTGCCACAAAGCAAACAATAGCAAAAATTATAAGACATACTGGATAAACTGAGTCATTCTGGTTCATATGCAGATGACAGATGAACCAAAACATTGAGTCAGGCTTCAAATATGAATGAATAAATTTGTGGATAAGCAGATTTGTGCATGGATGGAAAATCTAATGGATGGATAAACTGGATGGATAATCCAAGGGATAACAAGTGGGTAGATGAAAGGTTGGACAGATTGATCAATAAACACAAATGGATGGATGAATAATTGAAACTGACATGTGCACGGATTAATGGGAAATTGAATAGGTAACAGTATGAAAAACACTGGAAATTACAGCAGCTAAGCCAACCAGACCTGGAAAACATCAATTTCAAATAGTTAGAAATTGCAGAGGATCTCTGACTTGAAGTTATAATTTTAAAGTTTACAGACACACTTAAACTCACTAAAGCAGATAAGAAAGGAGAGAGAAACAGCAATGAGATTATAGTGTTAGCCATCTCTGTACCTCTGCTGATGGCTTTTCTTTTGTAGAAGAGATCGTAGATGTACCGACTGCGCTGATGGTGCAGCCTGAAGATCGGCCAAAGGGACTCCACCTTCCGCTTTCCCTCATGAGGGTCTGTTTCAGCTGGGACACCGAGAGCAGATGAAGAAAATAAGTATGAAAATATTAGGATACATTTTCCAGATCCTGCATATTAACCAAAAGTACAGCAAAGTAATTGAGGAACAAAAGGGTAAATATTGGAACTTGCTTGATTTAAAAAAAACCCATTTTTAAAAATTATTTCTTTAGATCTTTGAAAACAAAATCTTATCACACCTATTTGACTTGGTTCCCTTCACAAACCACTTCCCAGTGTTTTACTGTTGGGAAAACCTCCCTGAAATCCACACAGTATTTACATAGAGAATACTATGAGATTTAACTTAATAGAAAAACATGGTAAAAAGAGAAAGAAACAAATACAGACGGATGTACTAAACAGATAATTCAACATGGAAATGTGTCCTTTGAGATTTCAATTGGAGATATAAAGGGCATTTAAACTGAAATGGTTTGTTCTTATTCTTATTAGATGTCTGGTCAGAGACGTTATGCCTTATGTGACGTCACTAGAGGCATACTCTACCTTGTGTTTTGGAGGGCAGATTTGTATTTTTTTATCAAATATTTTATTTATAATAATAATAATAATAATAATAATAATAATAATAACAACCCACTATGAAGTGATGTTCTACAGTTGCCAAAAGTACATCTAAGGAGAGTAGACAAATTTTAGAGACAGATCGTATTGGCAGCTTTAATGTTAGACGCTCATGTTGGCAGTTCTTTCCAAATATAATGCAAGACTGTCTTCATTTGAATACCCAAGGCAAACTACTAAAGCA